GAAGGCTGAGATAAACTTTTAATATTTCTTTTTTTGAGACAGAGTCTTACTTTGTCGCTCAGGCTAGAGTGCAGTGGCGTGATCTTGGCTCACTGCAACCTCTACCTCCCAGGTTCAAGCGATTCTCCTGCCTCAGCTTCCCAAGTAGCTAGGATTACAGGCACCCACTACTGCGCCTGGCTAATTTTTGTATTTTTAGTAGAGATGGGGTTTCACCATCTTGGCTGGGCTGGTCTGGAACTTCTGACCACCCACCTGGATCCAATGTTTGCATTTTGAAAGCTATGTATATAACAAATAAATGGGGCTGGGGGTGATGGTGCATGGCAGTAATTCTATGCTTTGAGAGGCTGAGGCTGGCTGATTGCTTGAACCCAGGAGTTAAAGACCAGCCTGGGCAAGTAGTGAGACCCTGTCTCTACCAAAAAATACAAAAAAATTAGCTGGTGTGGCGGCAGGTGCTATAGTCCCAGCTACTTGGGAGGCTGAGGCAGGAGATCACCTCAATGTAGGAGGTTGAGGCTATAGTGACCTGTGATTGTGCCACTACACACCAGCCTGGGGCACAGAGCAAGACCTTCTTCTTCTTCTTTTTTTTTTTTTTAAAAAAAGGATAAATCATAGCATATTTCTATAGTGCAATACTACACAGCAATAAAAAATGAACTACTTCCAACACAACCATATAGATGAATTTTGGATTCATTTTGTTTATGTTGTGAATTTATGAATAAATTTTTTCCCACATGGATAGAGAATTGTCCCAGCACTATTTCCTAAATAGTGCATATTAATTTCCCTCTAATTTGTAATGCCACCTCTGCTACATATTCAATTTTCTTTTTTTAATGAAAAAAAATTTTTTTACTTTTTTTTTTTTTTTTTTAAGAGATAGGGTCTTGCTGTGTTGCCCAGAATAAAGTGCAGTGATACATTTTTAGCTCACTGTAACCTTAGATTTCTGGTCTTAAGGGATCCTCCTGCCACACCTTCCTCAGTAGCTGGGACTACAGGCATGCATCACCACTCCTGGCTATTATTTACTTACTTACTTACTTACTTACTTATTTATTTTGAGGCAGAGTCTCATTCTGTCACCCAGGCTGGAGTGCACTGGTGTGATCTCAGCTCACTGCAACCTTCGCCTCCCAGGTTCAGGCAGTTCTTGTGCCTCAGCCCCCTGAGTAGCTGGGACCACAAGCATGCCACCATGCTATCTCACTTTTTGTAGTTTTTTTGTAGAGATGGGGTTTTGTGATATTGCCCAGGCTGGTCTCGAGCTCCTGAGCTCAAGTGACCCATCTGCCTCGGCCTTTCAAGTGCTGGATTACAAGCATGAGCCATCCATACCTGGCTTGATTTTTTTTATGTTTTGTAGAGACTGGGTCTCACTATGTTACGTAGGCTGGTCTTGAACTCCTGGCTTCAGGTGATCTTCTCACCTTGTCCTCCTGAAGCACTGGGATTATAAGGGTGAACCACCAAATCCAGCCCCTCTAATTTTCATATATGTGTGAATTTATTTCTGAACTTGATTCTGTTGTACCATTCTGTTTCTCTAATTTGTCACATTTGTTAATTACTGACTTAAGAAAAGTGCTTATATATATTAGGGCATATCCCTCACTTCATTATTTTCCTTTGGAATTGTATCAGCTGTCGTTTGTTTTACTCTGCCATTTGAATTTTAGAATTAGCTTATAATCTCTAGGAAATGTTTTGCTGGAATTTTTATTGGAATTGCATTGCATTTATGGATTAATTTGGAAAGAATGTATTTACATTATGAAGTTTTTCTATTCATGAGAATATACAGTTATTTATTCTATCATTCAGTAAAATTTTATAATTTTATTTTTAAAAGATTTAGATGCTTTTGGTTAGACTTATTCTTAGGTAGCTTAAAGTTTCTGTTTCCATTACAAATGATATATTTTTAAAATTCCATTTTTAATTGTTATTGCTATATAAAACTGGTGGTTACTTTTTAAAATTTATAATTGTCTTGTCAACCACCTTGTTGAATTATTTTACAGGTTTGCCCACATATTATCTTAAATTTTCCATGTAGATAATCATATTGTCTGAATAATGATTGGTTTCTTTCTTTCCCCATTTCTTTCTAATTTCTTCATGTTTCTATTTCTTACTATGCTGGCTCATACTTCAGTGCATTGTTTATCACAGGCAATGAAAAAGACATCCTGGTTTTATTGGTTACTTTAAAGGAGTAATTACTAGTATTGCACCCTTTATTGAGATGTTTGCTGTAGTTAAAAATTATTTTTTAATTAACAACTTTATTGAGCTGTAGTTCACATGCTTAAAATTTACCTTTTTAAAGTGGGTTCTGTGGGTTATGATTAGTTATTTTTATTTGATTAAGAAAATTTTCCCTTTATGATTAGTTATTTTTATTTGATTAAGAAAATTTTCCCCAATTCCAATAGGCTAAGAAATTAATCACTATGATTATCAAAATTTTTAGAAATTAACTTTTACCAAAGTAGTATACCTGTAGAATTTAAAGAGTCAGTTAGTTCTGTTGAGAAAAGCATTCTTCTGACTAACTCCTCAATCCCAATTCTCACTTTGGAGTATACTTTTGTCTTAATAGTGGTTTCTTCTGTTATTTAGCTGCATTTAAAAAAATAACGTGGGTTCTGCTTCTTTTGAGTTTTCAATTTTAGATGTTCTCTGTTGATTTCCTGTTAAGTATAATGATGATTTAGCTTCTTTAGACACGCATACCCTCACATACATTTCCCTCTCTCTCTCTCTCTCTCTCTCTCTCACACACACACACACTCACACACACACACACACTCACTCACTCTTGTGCTCTCTCTCTCTCTTCCTCCTATGCTTCCTGCTTTTCTGCCCCTTTTTCTTCTCTCCCTCTACTCTCTATTCTGCCAATATAGTTATATTGATATTCAGTGTGGATATCATCACATGTATGTATTATTATAGCTCATGACAGTAATGTCATGTAGCTTACTTGATTATATTTTTATACAACTTTATGTTTCCTAAGGAACCATAATTAACTATTTATTTTTTCATTGCTTAGTTTTCTATTTTTCTACCCCCAACCCAGGTGCCAATGTTTAGGTAACCTGCCTGGAATTGAGCTTGGTGTACTCTTATGATTCAATATGTAGGATTTCATTTAGTCCTTCTCTTTTTAGTACAGCGCCTCACTGTTAGTAGTTTGTATTTTCTATATTTTATCAGAATAAATTGCCAGTGTTCTGCCAGTGTTGGAGAAGAATATTAGCCTTGATGTAAGGTGTTGCTGAGTGGACTTCATTTTTCAAAAAGAATGATTTGATATTTGTATTCCATTGCAGGGCTGAATATTTTTCCAAGTTCATGTCATCTTTCTTGTTTGTTCTTTGTTCGTTTTTTTTTTAAGGTCTTTGTGCTTATTTGTATTCTTTAATATTTTGTTCAGTGAAGGGGGATTTTTCATTATAGATTTGTGTTGTTTCATGATATGTCTGAATATTAAAATGTATCTTTCTTATTTATCCTATTTCCCTGTTTTATTTTCATTGAACACATTTTATTGGCAAACGTCAGCGTTGTCACCAGTGTCTTTTATTGCTTCAGTATTCAGAATTTTCTCTTTTACAATGAGGGAAACATACTCTTCTGTTTTCTTATAATTTTTTCTTAATGTCCACACTTCCATCCATATTAAAACTTATAAGTCATGAAAAGACGAATGAGCCAGTTAACATACAGTTTCTTATTTAGCATGTATTGTTTCCTTAAGTCATTTAATTTTGCTTGTGATGTAGTCATATTATTCTCAGCATCAGAATTACTCCCTGGAAATAATTCATGGATTTAAGGCAGCATATCAACACTTTAAAGCCCTTTGGAGAAGCCATTTGCTACATTTTAATTTAATTCTTTATTTCTGAAAGGCATCAAATAATACCCTGATTGTCTGAGAAGTAATGACTCTTCAAAATGCCTACTTATTATTAAAGATTCTTTGACTCTGAGGAGAATTTTGCTAATATGGCAATCTAAAATTAATATTATTAGCATTGTGCATTAATAATTGTCTTAGTCTGTTTGTATTGCTATAAAAAAATACCTGAGGCTGGGTAACTTATAAAGAAAAGAGGTTGATTTGGTTCACAGTTCTGCAAGTTGCACAAGAAGCATAGCACCAGCATCTACTTTTGAAGACCTTAGCCTGCTTCCACTCATGGCAAAAGGTGAAGGGGAGCTGGTTTGTGCAGATCACAAGGCAAGAGAATGGGGAGGGGGGAGAGAGAGAGAGAAAGAAGGGAGGGAGGTGTCAGGCTCCTTTTAACAACCAGCTCTCATGAGAACTAATAGAGCACTAACTCACCTCCTCTCCACCTAGGGAGGGTGTTAATCTATTGACCCCAAACTTCCTGTTATGCCCCACTTCCATTATTGGGGATCAAATTTCAATATGAGATTTGAAGTTAGAGTGTCAAACCATAGCAATTCTGTTTACCTAAAATTTCAATGCATGTTTTGTCTGGGTTTCATTATATTTTTGAGAAGTTACTTTTTCTGATTTCCTCCCAACCCCTCTATACTTAATATGGTAATTTCTTATAGGGACATTTTTCTGCTGTTCTTCAGAAAGAGGAAAAGATCTCACCAATTTATAGTAAAGAGGAGGCAAGAGAAGTGCCAATTATTAGTGCATCAACTCAAATAATGCTTAAAGGACTTTTTATGGTTCTTGACTACCTTTTTAGGCAAAACAGCAGGTAAGTGAAGATAACTGCTGTGTATTTTCCTTTTAAAAATAGCCTAATTTGGGTGCTAGCATGTGTTTAATACATACCAATTTGGGGTGAGTAAATAGGAGAACTGAAAATAAGTGTTATAGATATTATTATATATTTGCTCTTATTGACACAGACTTAGAGGAATTGAAATTAGTCTGGTGTTTTTTTGAGATGGGGTGAGGGGGACACTTGCTCTGCCACCCAGGCTGAAGTTCAGTTGGATGATGACAGCTCACTGCAGCCTTGACCTCCTGGGCTTAAGCAGTCCTCCCACCTGTTTCCTGAGTAGCTGGGATTACAGGTGTGCATCACTCATATCCAGCTAATTTTTTAATTTTTTTTTTTTTTTTTTTTTTGGTAGAGATGAGATCTCACTATGTTGACCAGCATGGTCTTGAACTCCTGACCTCAAGTGATCCTCCCACCTCAGCCTCCCAAAGTGTTAGGATTATAAGCATGAGCCCACGCCTGGCCAAAATTAGTCTTTTGTATTAATGAATATTGAAATCATTAAATAAATATATTTAATTAATGTTAATTAAATATTAATTAATTAATATTAAATTGTTATCTTCTGTTGCTAAAGTTTTGTTATGTTCCTACAGTGTCAGAAAGTCTTTTTTTTTGTGACAAACTGTGGAAAATGAAAAACAACCAACTCCTCTTATCCTATCACTTAAGTTATAGTAGTCCCTAGCTCTGGTATTTTTTTGTTTATTTTATTGTGGTAAAATATACATAAAATATACCATTTTAACCATTTTACATATACAACTCAGTGCCATTAAATATAGTATATTTGCAATGTTGTACATTGTACTCATTTCCAGAAATTTTTTATCATTCCAAACAGGAATTCTGTACCCGTGAAATAATAACTCCCTAGAGTCTTTCCCTTCATCCCCTGCTAACCTATATTCTGTTTCCATCTTACGAACTTATCTTTTCTAGCTATTTCACATAAGAGCAATCAAACATTATTTGTCCTTTTGTGTCTGGCTTAATTCACTTAGCACAGTGTTTTCAGGGTTCATTTATGTAGTAGCATATCAGAATTTTGTTTGTTTCTGTGGCTGAATAATCCATATTATTCAAAATGTGGTACACATATACCACATTTTGTTAATTTATTATTATGTTAATGAACATTTGGATTGTTTTCATTTTTTGCCTATTGTGAACAATGCTACTATGAACGTTGGTATACAAATATCTTTTCTGCTTTCAGTTCTTCTGGGTGTATATACATACCTAGCAGTGGAATTGCAGGATCATATGGTAGTGCTACATTTAACTTTTTAAGGACTCGGCATACTGTTTTCCATAGCAACTGCACTATTTTGCATTCCCATTAGCAATGCACAAGGGTTTCAATTTCTCCACATCCATGTCAACAGTCTGTATAGCAGCATATATCTGAATTGTTGTTTTGCCAACACTTTTTATTTTGTTTTTTGTATAATAGCCTTCCTAATAGGTATCAAGTGGTATCTCCTGGTTTTTATTTGTATTTCCTAATGACTAGAGATATTGAGAATCTTTTCTTGTGCTTTATTGGTCAATTGTATGTCTTTTTTGGAGAAATATCTATCATGGCCAAATCTGATGTCATGAAGATTTCCCCTTTGTTTTCTTTTAAGAGTTTTACAGTTTTTGGCTCCCTGTAGTTTTATAAGATTCTCTCCACAGTTGTTAAGTTCACAGTTTTAATTTTGAGATCTAATCTCTCCAGGAGTGAAATCAATAATGAAATACTATAGTGAAGACATGGTAAAGAATACCACATTTTATTCTTTTTAAGCTTAGCCATTTTCTAGATTCTTATTGAAAGTAGTTATAAACTGGATGGGATCACAGATATCATCTGGTTCAGTACCTTCATTAAAAGTAGATGAAGGCTGAGACTCAGGTTTCAAAGAAATGTAAAAATTTTATACTTAGCTGCTAACACTTTCAAAACTTTAAGTAAAACTTATCTTCCTATTTTCTCATGTAATAAAAAAGTATAACCCACCTTTTAGCTCCTTTAACCATAATACTGTTTTCTATTTTGTAACTAATCATATAGTAGAGAATGCAGAGAGCTCTGGACTGGGAGTTAGGAGGCCTGGATTTTAATCCTGCTTCTGCCGTGACATATATAATGTTTGAAAATGAGGTTAGAAAGTAGCTGGTAAAAGATAGATGGTTAGATGATTGCTGATATTCCCTCTGAGAATCAGTTGATTCTAGGATTTAATGGCTTAATTGATATCAGAATTACTGAATTTAATTAATGGTAAGGAGAATGTTATCTTTGAATGGGAAGGTACCAGCTCTTTCAAATGAGTTTTAATATAATCAGTTTTTATATTGCGTGTAGCTGGGTTATAGGTTTTATAAAGTTTTGCCATTTAATTAGCATTTTCTTTGCATCTAGATTTGCAGATGATTATAAAATTGCTATTCAACAGACTTACTCGTGGACAAATCAGATTGATATTTCAGATAAAAATGGGTGGTTGGTTCTACCAAAAAATAAGAAACGTTCACGACAAAAGACTGCAGTTCATGTGCTCAACTTTTGGTGCTTAAATCCAGCTGTGGTAAGCTCATCATATAAATGGAAATTTTGTCTTCTTGCTCAGTACCAGCATTTTAATGAACGTGGTTGACTCTTTTAAAGATAGTTGTTTTGTTTTTGTTGTTGTTTTTTTGAGGCAGGGTCTCACTCTTTCACCCACGCTGGAACGTAGTGGTGCAATCTCGGCTCACTGCAGCCTTGACCTCCTGGACTCAAGCGATTCTCCCATCTTAGCCTCCCAAGTAGCTGGGACTACAGGCATGCGCCACCATGGCCAGCTAATTTTTGTAATTTTTGTAGAGATAGGGTTTCAGCATATTGCCCAGGCTGATCTCAGACTCCTAGACTCAAGCATTCCTCCTGCTTCAGTCTTCCAAAGTACTGGGATTACAGGTATGAGCCACTTTGCCTAGTCTTTTTAAAGATAATTTTATATAGCTAATGTTATTTTCTTTTAGGCCTTTTCAGATATTAATGGCAAAGTTCGGACTATTGTTTTGACATCCGGTACATTATCGCCAATGAAATCCTTTTCGTCAGAACTTGGTGTTACATTTACTATCCAGCTGGAGGCTAATCATGTCATTAAAAATTCACAGGTTAGTTACTTTTTTTTGTTATTTTTGTTTGTTTTTGAAGGGCTTCAGTGTTTCTACTTCAATATAACTGTTTAAACAAGTTAGGAGGTACCTGAAGTGCCAGCAAGTAAATCTTGATAGGAAATTCAACATTCCAGTTTTACAATAAAAGAAAATCTGTCAACTACTTAATAGTTTGTCAACAGAAGGAAATAATCCAGTCACGGGATACAAAGGCTGTATTTCAGCTTCATTTAAATAAGTTTTAGTTTTAAAATGAAAACAAATTTTTGATTTCTTTAGTTCTCATTGTATAATTATTTGTGTTTATTTATTTATGAGACAGAGTCTTGCTCTGTTGCCCAGGCTGGAATGCAGTGGTGCTCTCTCAGCCAACTGCAATCTCTGCCTCCCGGGTTCAAGGAATTTTCCTACCTCAGCCTTCCGAGTAGCTGAGATTACAGGTGTGCGCCACATGCCCAACTAATTTTTTATTTATTTATTTATTTTTAGTAGAGACAGGGTTTCACCGTGTTGTCCAGGCTGGTCTCTAACTCCTGCCCTTAAATGATGTGTCTGCTTCAGCCCCACAAAGTGCTCAGATTACAGGCGTGAGCCACCATGCTCAACCTATTTATGTTTTATTTATTTATCTCTGTATTGTTATTTTTACTTTTATTTTTTGAGGTAAGGTTTTGCTCTGTCACCCCGGCTGGAGTGCAGTGGTGCGATCTTGGTTCACTGCAGCCTTCACCTCCCGGGTTCCAGTGATTCTCATGCCTCAGCCTCCCGAGTAGCTGGGATTATGGGTGTGTGCCACCATGCCTGGCTCATTTTTATGTTTTTAGTAGAAATGGGGTTTTGCCACATTGGCCAGGCTTTTTTTTATCTTTTTAGAGACCAGGTCTTGCTATGTTGCCTAGGCTGGTTTCAAACTCCTGGGCTCAAGCAGTCCTCCTGCCTCAGCCTCCTGAGTAGCTAGGACTTACAGGCATGTACTACCATGCCCAGCTTGTATAATTATTTATGCTTCTCTTTTCCATTAAACTACAATGTATCCTGTTTCTTCCATTTACATCCACATTTTTCCTCTGTGCCTGGATTAATAGCTGGTATTTGGCAAGTATTCAGCATGTTTGAATATGTGAAATGAATTAAAAGTACTCTTACAAATCCTATGATTTAGCATTCCAATGTTTTATAATGATGCCTAATAAATGTTATTTTAATTTTCATAGAAATGTATAGATTGTCATTTTTCATTATGCCTTCTGGTTTCTTTTATGAAGTGGTTAGCTATGGGCTTAACATCACCTATGTGCCTAACACAATGCTAGTTCTTTATTAAACTATGTATACAGGTTTATAGGTGGGAACATTTTTGGTTCTCACAATTACTGGGGAGCAACTATGGCATTTGGTAGTTGGGAACTAGAATGCTAAACTCCTATGTAGTTAAGAATTATGCTTTCCAAAATGCTAGAGTGTTCCCGTTGAGAATTGCAACTATGAACAGCAGTGAAGGAAGAATACATGTTCCACATTTTTGAGTTGCTTTCTTGAGGCACAGATAAATATGGGAATTTGGTAAATTAAGTATACGTTTTCTCGTAAGAATGTTATTACAGGCTCTGTGTTCTCAACCTACTGTACAAAAGTTCATTTAACCTATAATGTCACTGAATTATAATAATAATGGTAGTTGTGCCACTGGATTCTGTTATACTATAATATTTTCCCTAAACTTAATTTTTTTTAAATTTTAATTGTGGTAGAATATACATGACATAAAATTTACCATCTTAACCATTTTTGAGTATACAGCTCAGTCTTATTAAGCATGTACATATTGTTATGCAACCAATGTCAAGACTTTCTCCCCTTGAAAAACTGAAACTCTATTTCTATTAAGCAACTCTCCATTCCCTCCCTCTCCCCAGCTCCTGGTAACTACCCTTCTACTTTCTGTTTCTATGGACTTGATTACTATAGATACTTCATATAAGTGGAATCATAAATTATTTCTTTTTTGTGACTGGCTTATTTTACTTAGCATAGTGTCCTCAAGATTTGTCCATCTTGTAGATAATGTCTTCAGAGTTCATCTATGTTGTAGCATTTGCCAGAATTTCCTCTTTAAAGGTGAATAGTGTTTCTTGTGTGTATATGCCTTTGATATCATAATATATATATATTTAATCTTCCACTCCATTTCCTGGCATACAACTCCTAAAATCCTTACAACCTCCAAAGTGACATTTTGTATGCTAATGAGATGACTAATGTTAGGGGGCACTAGGTAGCATCAGGATGGGGGCTGGTTTATAGGAGAGTTGGGATTTTTGTACCCATTCCTTAACCTCTAGGGAGGGCTTGGGGGAGATGGTGCTAATGGTTAAGTTTATCCTGATGGCCAGTGGTTTAATCAGTCATGCCTACATATTGAAAACCTCCATAAAAACCTGGAAGGACAGGGTTCAGAGAGCTTCCAGATAGCTGAACACTTGCAGGTTCTGGAGAGTGGTGTGCCTGGGAATCAAAGCTCCGAGCCCCTTTGCACATACATCTCTTTATCTGTATCTTTTGTAATATCTTTTATAATCAGTAAATGTAGGTAAATGTGTCCCTGGGTTCTGTGAGCAGCTCTACCAAATTAATTGAACCCAAGCAGAGGGTTATAGGATATCCGATTTCTAGCTGATCAGTCAGAAGCACAAGTAAAACAATTGTGACTGGCAACAGAAATTGGCGTCAGTCTTGAGGACTGAGCCCTCAATCTCTGGGATCTGAAGTGATTTCCCAGTAGATAGTGTCAAAATTGAATTGAATTAGAGGACACCTAGTTGATGTCTGTTGCAGAGTTGATTGCTTGCTTGATATGTGGAGAAAACCTCCCAGACATTTAGTCATAGAAGTTTTCTATGTTGATTGTTGTGGCATGAGAGCAAAGGGAAAAGTTTATTTTTTTCTACTCAGTGCCACATTTTGATAATTCATTCATCCATTGATTCTCTCAACTGTATTTCAAAAAATTAAAAATTTCAAAAAAGTTGGAAAAATAATATAGTGAATATCTTTATATCCTTCACCTAGATTCATCACTTGTTAACATTTTGCAAAGTTTCTTCTCTCTTCATCTCTCTACATATAAGGGAGATAGAATTGCAAATAACTATAAAATGTAGTGGGTATGATTTTTCTATGACCAAGGATCTTTGAGCACCAATGAATTTTTGAAAGAGTAGTTCCTGTCATTTTTGAGACTTGCCTATGGCAAATTGTACTGGCCTTCATCCCCAGTATTTTGGAACTACCTGATTCTGCTGTTGGCATAGATTCATTTCACTTGTTCATTTATTCACCTAACAAAAATGTGTTACATGCTTAAATTTTGCAGAGCTATTAAGTAAATAGAGACAGGTACAACCTGTTTTGCTTTCAAAGAATTTTCACTCTAAGAAAATTTAGTGATCTGTCAAAAGCAAAACTGTTATATGTTAAATCTGTATACAATTAAAGGTAATTAAAAAACCGCAACAATTTAAAAATAAATTTTTGTTAAGCTTACTGCTTGATCTTTTATGTAAATACTTTCAAATAAATACTAATTTCCATGACTTTTTCAGGAATAACTCTAATGTAATTACATACTCATATTCTAGGTTTGGGTTGGTACCATTGGATCAGGCCCCAAGGGTCGGAATCTCTGTGCTACCTTCCAAAATACTGAAACATTTGAGTTCCAAGATGAAGTGGGAGCACTTTTATTATCTGTGTGCCAGACTGTGAGCCAAGGAATTTTGTGTTTTTTGCCATCTTACAAGGTAAGGGAATATTTGTTTCTTTTGGCTTTCATTAAGCATTTACATTTAAATATTGTCATGCTAATTTTAAAAATTACCACAGTAAGCTTCCTAGGGTCAGAGGTAACAAGGCAATAATTATAGTTTTCTAAACATCATATATTATTTTACTTATTTTTTGATTAAGATACTGCCTGATTGTCCTACCTCTGTTTTACTTAAAAGTCTGAAAGAGCAAGGCTGGACGTGGTAGCTCATGCCTTTAATCCCAGCAGTTTGGGAGACTGAGCCAGAAGGATCATTGGGGGCCAGGAGTTCGAGATCACTTTGGGGAACATGGTGAAACCCTGCCTCTGCAAAATACAAAAATTAGCGGGGTGTGGTGGCATACACCTATAGTCCCAACTACTTGGGAGGCTAAGGTGGGAGGATTGCCTGAGCCCAGGAGGTTGAGGTTACAGTGAGCCATGATTCCCCCACTTCACTTCAGTGTGGGCAATAGAATAAGATGGTCTCTAAAATAAAATAATCTGAAAGAATAAAAGTCTTCAAGCAATGTTAGTTATATAGAAGAAGTGTTTATGTGTACATTATTTTTATTTTTAGGGACAATTAGATATTTTCAGAGTTGAAAGAAAAGGAACATTCTTTTTTACTTTCATACATTACATTTCTGAATGTTTCATTAATCTAAGCCAAACTTTCTTTGTTGCCCTCATTTTACTTCATGTATCTGGCAAGAAGAATTTTGTTGTTTTTAGAGTCAGTCTGATTTTTAATTAATTTGAAATTATGTAGTATATTTTGGTCCTCCTAATATTCAAAGCATTGATGCCACATATAATTCCTGAAAGTAACATCACATTGTATTAAAATCTAACCTAAATACAATGTAGAGAAGTGGCATTCCTTTCTCTTTTTTTTCCACAGGAAGTTATACCTCTAAGGACAGAAGCATTTGAAGCAATCTGTTTGAATCACAGTATTGATACTTTTGACTCTTCTATTGTCTTTCTGTACATATGTACTTTGAAAGCTAGGGATACACTAAAACAATTAGTCTCTTGTAGATAAAGGGTTTGTTTTCAAAAATAGACAATCAGATAATTTTTTACAAGAATATCTGAAAATATAATGGACATAAACATTAAAAAAATTTTTTAATATTGCGTTTTAGGTTTTGGGGTACATGTGAAGAACATGCAGGATTGTTGCATAGGTACATACAGGGCTATGTGGTTTGCTGCCTTCTGGCATTACTCCCCATGTTATCCCTCCCCAACCTCCCACCCCCTGCTGTCCCTCCCCTAGTTCCCTCCCACAGACCTCAGTGTGTGATGCTTCCTTTCCTGTGACCATGTGCATTGTTCAGCACCGCCTATGAGTGAGAACATGCTGTGTTTGATTTTCTGTTCTTGTGTCAGTTTGCTGAGAATGATGATTTCCAGGTTCATCCATGTCCCTACAAAGGACATGAACTCATCGTTTTTTATGGCTACATAATATTCCATGGTGTATATGTGCCACATTTTCCCTGTCCAGCCTATCATCGATGGGCATTTGGGTTGGTTTCAGGTCTTTGCTATTGTAAACAGTGCCACAATGAACGTATGTATGCATGTGTCTTTATAATAGAACGACATATAATCCTTTGGATATATACCCAGTAATGAGATTACTGGGTCAAATGAAATTTATATTTCTAGGTCCTTGAGAAATTGCCACAGTGTCTTCCACAATAGTTGAACTAATTTACACTCCCACCAACAGTGTAAAAGTGTTCCTATTTCTCCACATCCTCTCCAGCATCTGTTGTCTCCAGATTTTTTAACGATCGCCATTCTAACTGGCGTGAGATGGTATCTCAGTGTGGTCTTGATTTGCATTTCTCTAATGACCAACGATGATGAGCATTTTTTCATATGTTTGTTGGCCTCACGTATGTCTTCTTTTGAAAATTGTCGGCCTTTGGACTTCTCTGGGGCCAGCAGCCGCCCGACCAGGGGCCCGGGGCTACGGGGTCAGCCGACTACCATGGGCTCCGTGTCCAACCAACAGTTTGCAGGTGGCTGTGCCAAGGCGGCAGAAGAGGCGCCCAAGGAGGTGCCGGAGGACGCGGCCCGGGCGGCGGACGCGCCTCAGCTGCTGCACGGTGCAGGCATCTGTAAGTGGTTCAACGTGCGCATGGGGTTCGGCTTCCTGTCCATGACCACCCGCGCCGGGGTCGTGGTTGACCCCTCAGTGGACGTCTCTGTGCACCAGAGTAAGCTGCACATGGAGGGCTTCCGGAGCTTGAAGGAGGGTGAGGCCGTGGAGTTCACCTTTAAAAAGTCAGCCAAGGGTCTGGAGTCCATCCGTGTCACTGGACGTGGTGGGGTGTTCTGTATTGGGAGCGAGAGGTGGCCAAAGGGGAAGAACATGCAGAAGCGCAGATCAAAAGGAGACAGGTGCTACAACTGTGGAGGTCTAGACCATCATGCCAAGGAATGCAAGCTGCCACCCCAGCCCAAGAAGTGCCACTTCTGCCAGAGCATCAGCCATATGGTAGCCTCATGTCCACTGAAGGCCCAGCAGGCTCCTAGCGCACAGGGAAAGCCAACGTACTTTCGGGAGGAAGAAGAAGAAATCCACAGCCCTGCCCTGCTCCCGGAGGCCCAGAATTGAGCCCCAATGGGTGGGGGCTATTCTTTTGCTATCAGGGAGTTTTGAGGAGCAGGCAGAGTGGAGAAAGTGGGAATAGGGTACATTGGGGCTAGTTGGCACTGCCATATATCTCAGGCTGGGGTTCACACCATCACCCTTTCTTCCCTCTAGGTTGGGGGAAAGGGTGAGTCAAAGGAACTCCATCCATGGTCTGTCCAAATGCAAGTGAGGGTTCTGGGGGCGACCAGGAGGGAATCACCCTACAACCTGCATGCTTTATCTGAGGCTCCATCCCCAGAATTTCCAGCTTTTGAAAGTGGCCTGGATAGGGAAGTTGTTTTCCTTTTAAAGAAGGATGTATAATAATAATTCCCATGCCAGAGTGAAATGATTAAGTATAAGACCAGATTCATGGAGCCAAGCCACTATATTCTGTGGAAGGGAATCTCTCAGGAATAAGGCAGTTTTGTTTTTTTTTCCCCACATCTTGTATCCTCATACCCACTTTTGGGATAGGGTGCTGGCAACTGTCCCAAGCAATGGGTAGTGATGATGGCAAAAAGGGTGTTTGGGGGAACAGCTGCAGACCTGCTGCTCCTACACTCACCCCGCCCCGTTCTGGGTCAATGTGATTTTATTTATTTGCTCCCTTGGATACTGCACCTTGGGTCCCACTTTCTCCAGGTTGCCAACTGCACTAGCTGTGTGCGAATGACGTATCTTGTGCATTTTAACTTTTTTTTCCTTAATATAAATATTCTGGTTTTGTATTTTTGTATATTTTAATCTAAGGCCCTCATTTCCTGCACTGTGTTCTCAGTTACATGAGCAATCTCAGGGATAAGTCAGCAGCAGCTCCAGGTCTGCACAGCAGGAATACTTTTGGTGTTTTTGCCACCGTGGAGAGCAACTATTTGGAGTGCACAGCCTATTGAACTACCTCATTTTTGCCAATGAGAGCTGGCTTTTCTGCCATAGTGTCCTCTTGAAACCCCCTCTGCCTTGAAAATGTTTTATGGGAGACTAGGTTTTAACTGGGTTGCCCCATGACTTTATTGCCTCCTACTAGAAAATTGGAAATTAGTCTAAACAGGAAATGGTGGTGCAGAGAGGCTAGGAGAGGCTGGGCCAGGTGAGAGACCCAGAGAGGAAGCCAAGATTAGGTGAGGGTTGTCTAATCCTAGGGGCACAGGACGTCCTTTACATCCCAGATCCATTCTTCACCAGATTAGACGAGGCCTACCATGCACAACAGGGTGTGTGCGTTCATAAAACTGGAGTTGGTAAGGATAAGTTTTAAGACCAGTACCCCTGTACTTAATCCTGTGCTGTTAAGGGATGGCTACATGAAGTAAGGTCTAAAATCCTAAACCTGTCAAAATTCTTGGGTTCCAGGAAGACACACAAGCAGGGCTTTGTGGTGCCTGGAGCCCGTGTCCTGCCCTGCTGCAGTAGTGATTAGTAGTGTCATGGTAGCTAAAGGAGAAAAGGGGGTTTCATTTACATGCTGTGAGATCACAGCAAACCTACCTCACTGTGTTGAAATGGGACAAATGCAATAGAACACATTGGGTGGTGTGTGTCTGATCCCGGGTTCTTGTCTCCCCTAAATACCGCCCCCCTCTAGTTATTGTATTTGTCTGGGCTTTGTAGGACTTCACTAATTTGGTGATTGCTAGGTGGCCTAGTTTGTGTAAATATAATGTATTGGTCTTTCTTCCTGTTCTTTGGGGTTTTGTTTACAAACTTTTTTGTATTGAGAGAAAAATAGCCAAAGCATCTTTGACAGAAGGTTCTGCACCAGGCAACAAGATCTGAAACATTAGTTTGAGGGGCCCTCTTCTTAAAGTGGGGATCTTGAACCATCCTTTCTTTTGTATTCCTCCTTACCTATCAGACCAGATCTTCTGTCCTAAAAACGTGTCTTCCACCCTGCCCTCTTTTCTGTTCACCCCCAAAAGAAAACCTACACACCCACACTCGTACACATTTAATGCTTGGAGTGTCTCCACAACTTTTAAACAATGTATGCAAAAATCCGGAAGAAGCTAGAAACCCTCCATTCCTTGTTCCAGCCTCCTGAATCAAGACCAATAGATTTGTTTTGGTGAGCCACCATGTCCGGCCGACCATTTCATGATGTATTCATGACAAATACTTAAGACACTGCTGTAGGCCAGGCGTGGTGCCTCACGCCTGTAATCCCAGTACTTTGGGCGGCCAAGGTAGGTGGATCACGAGGTCAGGAGTTCAAGACCATCCTGGCCAACACAGTGAAACCCCATCTCTACTAAAATACAAAAAATTAGCCAGGCATGGTGGTGTGTGCCTGTAATCCCAGCTACTCAGGAGGCGGAGGCAGGGGAATCACTTGAAAC